CCCAGACTGCAGTTGATGAAAAATGGAAATGTTTTGAGTTCCCCATTCTTATGTACTTTGAAGGTCACTTCCTGTCATAAATCTGTCATCATATGATTATTACCCAACTGACATTATTCCATGCAGATTTTCTGGATCAACCAGATGGAACATTCCAGCAGAAGATTCATTTGGTTGTTCCCCCACTCAAAGGTCTGAATGAGCTGTCCCTTGGCACAGAGACTTTTAGTGGAGACTGAATTGGAGGAAGAGGAAGATGGTTTTATGAGAACACCAACGAAATAGAGAACCTTTCTACTTATAGAGAACTTAGTGAGTCTGATTTGGTAGTCTGATTTGGGGGGAGAAAATTGTTAAGTATACTGAGTAAATTTTAATATTGTATAATTTATTAACATTAATTTGTAATACACCCTTCTCTATTTAAAATTCCCACTTCTCCATTTTGGCTCTCATAGAAAAACCATTTCCAGAAGTTGGCTGAGGAATGTGGTCATATACCAGCTCCTACTTGGGCCTGGTCTGACACTCTCGATTTATCCCATGCACAAAAGCTAAGCTGAGCTAGTTCTCTCTACCAAGAGTTACCAAGAGCTACTGGTGTGACTTTGGTCCCTTCATTAGAATTTGTGGTGGCCTGGCTCATTAAAGAGAAATAAAACCAGAAAGAACTTGATCAGGGTGACCAGACTGCTAGAGGGACTCAAAACTCATGAACAAGCCTCATTTTTCACCTGACCACAGCCCCTCCCCACCACAATGATGAGAAGGAATTGGGAGCTCTTAGCCCACCTCCTCATTTAATATCCACCAATCAGGGGTTGCTTTATTCTTGTCAGAGGGAGTACCCAGTAATTTGCTATCAGGGAGACAGATCTGGATTTATACTGGTATGTCTTCATTTGTTTATACTTAAGCATCTTTTTTTACTGAGAGAGACCACTGACTATCAATTTATTGATTATTGGCTGACTTAATTAATAAACTGATTTTTAATACCAGATAACTTTGTCTCTCTGAATTTCATTCATGACAATACCAAGTTTGTCTTGGTGATACAATAGTGTCAGAGCCATAGAGTGGAAAGAACGATAAACTGGACAACAGAAGTAGATTCACATTCTGACCCTGTCAATTAAGCATGTGTGATTTGATGAAAGTCACTCATTTCTCAAGTCTTTGGTTATTTTCATCTCTAAAATGAAGGTGTTGGGCTAGATGACCTCTAAAGTCCTTTCCAGCCATAAATACATCACCCTTTACTCATGAAGTCACAGATTTTTAGAGCCAAAATGGACCTCAGTCATCATCAAGTTCAACCCCCAAATTCGAAGGGATACCCACTACACCATACTCTTCTTAAAGACCTCCAATGAGGAGGAACCTATGACTTTCTGGAGCAATCCATTCCATTTGCATGGATAGTTCTTATTGTTAGGAAATTGTTCTTGACTTCTCACTTCAGTTTGCCTCTTTGACCCTTCCACACATTCCTATTTGTTCTGCCATTCTGGGCTAAATAGACAAAATCTGATTTCCTTCCCATGCGACAGTCTAGTCTGTCTGCAAGACTGCCGATACCCACTAAAGAGAAAACTGGAAGAAAACCACTGCTTGAACCATCCATCAAAGACATCGAGTCATGATATAGTGGTGATGGGGGTTGGGGAGTCTTCAGTTATCTGTATATCTGTTTGAATTTTCTCCCTGCCACAAACAGATCAGCTAGTAACTTCATGATTTGCAGAGTGATAATTTTATCTTCCAAATGTGAAGGAACCTAATAGTGGGCATCCTGAATCTGATTCTCACTGACAAGGAGCAACTGGTTGTTAAAGTAGAAATGCTGGGAGGCAAGGAGGGAAGTGCTCACTCCTTCCTAGAGTTTGTCATAGAGAAGAATAGGAAGTCTTGTCTTAATCTGATATGGACCCTGGATTTGGTGGGAGGGAGATTTCAATAATTTCAGAGTTAAAATTGGTATAGGCTCTTATAGAATAAAATGTTTTGGGGTAAGTAAGTTCAGGAGAGATGCTAAAGAAAAAAATTCTAAAGACACATAGAGAGAAAAAATCCCAGTCAGGAGGGAAGATAAGATTTATCAAAAGATACTAGGTAATTCACCAAACCTATTAAATTTTGTAAAATAATTCTTTAGAATATGGAAGCAAGGACAGATAACAAAAGACGTGTATAAGTGTGAGGTACAATCATATAAAAATAGTGCGGGAATGCTAAAGCTCAGAATGAGCTATGGCTGCTGAAGGAATCTAAGGACCAAAAAATGGACTTAATTCCACATTTGAAGCAAAAGGATGATCAAAGAAATGATAGAATACTTTCTTGAGGTAGATGAGATGATGATAACTGACAACAGAGAGAAAAGAAGCTCAATTGACATTTTATTTTATTACTTTTGTTTTTTCTTCTGCAAAGGAAAATGACCTTTGTGCTAGATATGACAGAACAAAAGTAGCTGACAGGGAGTCAATACCCAGGATGAAGAAGGACTTATTATTAGAGTGCTTAATTGTCCTTGATGAGTTCAAGTTACCTGTCCTCAGTGAACATTATCCTTAGGTCCTGAAGGAAATGACAGATGGTGACTGCTGAGCCATCATCAATGGTATTGAGAGACTGTGAAGAAACAGTGCAATACCACGAGCCTGGAGAAGAGAAAATGTTCCCAATTTAAAAAAATTTTAATTTTGTTTGTTATATTTTAAGTTCTGAACAGTCTTCCTCCTGCCCTCCCACTCTTCATTATTTCATGTAAGTTTTTCCATGTTTTTCTAAAATCAACCAGCTCATCATTTCTTTTTTCTTTTTTTATTTCTTTTGCTAGGCAATGGGGTTAAGTGACTTGCCCAGGGTCACACAGCTAGTTAAGTGTCAAGTGTCTGAGGCTGGATTTGAATTCAGGTCCTCCTGACTCCAGGGCTGGTGCTCTAACCACTGTGCCACCTAGCTGCCCCCAGCTCTTCATTTCTTACAGCACAACAGTATTCCATCACAATCATGTACCACAACTTGTTTTGCCATTTCCCAATTGATAGGCATCCCCTCAGTTTCCAGTTCTTTGCCACCATAAAGACAGCTGCTATAAATATCTTATACCAATTTTTTTCCCAAAGGACGAGAATCAAGCCTGCAAACTAAAACCCAGTAAGCTTGACTTTGGTTCCTGGTGTAACTTTAGAACAGATCATGAAAGAGATGGTTTATGAACATCTGGAATGGGAAATTGTGATACCAGTGAACCAACATGCCTTCATCAAGATCAGGTCATGTCAGATTAACAAATTTTCCATTTTTTTTACAAGATCAAGAAACTAGTAGATGAGAAGAATTTTAGGATAAAGTTTCCATTGATTTTCTCAATGGCTCTGATAAAGCATCTCATATTCCCCTTGTAGAGAAGCTGGCAGGACATCAATTAGATGAGAATATAATCAAATAGATTAAGAACTGATTGAAGGGATGATTAGATGTCAATGGGGTAGGAGGTCTCCATTAGAGTAATACCCCAGGTCTCTGTACTTGGTCCTGGGTTACTTCAAATTTTTTTTTTTCAGAGATGTGGATAGGGTGAAGATGGTATGCTTATCCGATTTATAGATGCCACAAGGTTGGGAAGGATAGCTAATATGATAGACATCGATAGACTATTTGATTCTATTCTCTTCCATCATTTTCAGTCTTGTCAGACTCTTTATGACCCCATTTGGGGTTTTCTTGGCAAAGATACTGGAGTGGTTTGCCATTCCCTTCTCCAGCCCATTTTATAGAGGAGGGATGGAGGCAAATAGGGTTGCCCAAGGTCACATAGTAAGTATCTGAAAGTGGATTTTGAACTCAGATCCTCCAGACTCCAGGGCCAGCACTCTATACACTGTACAACCTAGCTGCCATGGAATTTGATAGGGATAAATATGAGATCTTGCACTTGGTTACCAAAAAAAAAAAATCACCTTCAAATATATGAAATGGTAGTGACATAGACAAATAGCAGGGATTCTGAAAGTGATCTGGGTGTTTGGGTGGGCTACAAGCTCAATATGAATCAGATACGAGAGTTTAAAAAATGAATGAATGAAATCTTGGACAACATGAGTCAAAGCTTCCAGGAAGTGATAATCCCACCATACTCTGCCCTTCTCAGACTTCATCTGGAATATGGTGGTTAATTTTTATTTAAGAATGTTATTGCTAATCTGGAAAATGTAGAGAGAAAGGTGGCCAGAAGGGTGAAAGGCCTAGGGTCTATGAGATACAGAACTGGTTTGAGGGTCTGGGCAAGTTTATCGTGGAGAAGAGAAGACTTAGGGGAGACATTATAGCTGATTTCCAGAAGCTGAAGTATGGTGGAGAGGAGGGTTTAGGTTTGTTCTCTTTGGCCCCATGGGCATAACGAGAAACAACACAAGAAAGTTGAAAGGAAGCAATTACAGGTTTGGTGTAAAGAAAACCTCTGTGACAATTAAATCCATCCAAAATTAGAAAGAGCTCTCCCAAAAGAGGGTGTATTCCCTTGCCTTGAAGATCTTCGAGCAGAAGTTAGAGACCATTTGATGGATACATCATTGTGGGGCTCCTTTTCATGCATGATTTGGATTATTGTAGTCTGCGATTCTGGGACACCCCCCTCAAACTAAGCTCTTGCCATGTCTGGGCACTGCTTTTCCGATCATTTTGTAATATCTTTTACTTCTAGGTCATTCACTAATAAACCTTAGGTAGTCCAGTGCTACTAGCTAGGACAAGCAATGGGTTGGATTAAATTGATTCTGTGACAAAGGAATGTGACTTCAGTCACGGCAGGGACTCCTGGATGAATTACTCACAGGTAGACGGCTACCCCAGAGAGGCTTACAAAAGAGGGAGGTTCTGGAAATGAGGGTGAGCGTGGCAAGTCATTTTTAGAATTGCAGGAGAATTACATTTTGTTGAGGAGATAACTGTGATCTCAGAGTCTAGGCCTGTCCCCACTTCCTCTGGGCGGGACTCCTCAGCCCTATAAAGGGGCTCTTACTGACACCACAGCCATCTACTGACCACTTGATTTCTCATCTGTGCTGGAGCATCTGGTGAGTCTGAGATTCTGTAGGGTTAGTCCTGGGGTTGAGATTTCTCTTACAGGCTTGAAGTCATTGTAGGCAGTTTGGTGGAGAGGAGAGAGCCCTAGCCTAGTAATCAGGATTCCTGGGGTCTGGGTTCTAGTCTCTTTGACTCCTTTGGTATTAGTTCTTTCTGTAAAAGAAGAGCATTGGACTATTGATGAATTTGAAGGTCCTTTCTACTTACACATTGTACTATGCTATGAAATAACGTATGTTGATAATTTTATATTAAATGCCTGAGATCTCATCATGGTCATTTTTGAATTTTCTTAATTGCCACTAAAATGACCGATACTGTTTAAAATGCCATTGTTGGAAATGAGGAGACCTGAATAGAAATCTTAGATGTGTTACTAAGCTAGATGACCTTGGTTGAATCACTTTTCTCCTTAGCCTCAATTTTTTTTTGGTCAGATGAAGAGTGCACTAGTAATCTCTGAAGTCTCCCTGAGCTCTGACATCAGCGTAGTCCAAGCTCCTTATTTTCTTTTTGACCTTTAAGATCCTTTCTAAAATTGTTATTCTATGCTATTTAGCATAGGGGCAGCATGCATGACTGGAATCAGGGTTAAAAGACCTGGGTTCAATCCTGACTCAGGTTTACTAACTCCATGAGTTCTGGTAAGCTACTGGACCTCAGTTTCCTCACCTGTAAAAAGGAGTTAGATTAGATGATCTCAAGGGGCAGGTAGGTGGCACAGTGAATAGAGCACCTGCCCTAGAGTCAGGAGGATCTGAGTTCAAATCTGGCCTCAGACACATAATACTCACTAGCTGTGTGACTCTGAGCAAGTCACTTAATCCCAATTACCTCACCACAAAAAAATGATTAGATGATTTCTAAAATTCTTTTAAGCTTTGTGATCACGTGAGGAGTCAGAGGGGTGGAGATCAGGAAGGGGTTTTTCAAGGGTGTTAGGATATCTTAGGGACAGGCTATTTTGGTTGGCTTTCATGTGGATGGTCTTTGAGTCCACTTTGTACAGGGAAATAAAGAGTCAGAGAAGTCTTAAGAAGGGCCTTGAACTAAAGGATGCTGTGTAACGTGTTAGAACCTTCCTTGCTCCATCCTTCTATAGAAGAATCCTATTGACTCTGTATAGCTTCTGGTACATCTTCCCTCTAGGCTTTAATCAGGGCCCAATAGTTGTGGTGATGGTGGTGATAATAGTGAAGTGGATTTATAACAAGATTATTCAGAATTTCAGTGACTTTAGTCCTTTTCCTTCAAGCTTTTACTCATACTCACAGATCATTTATAAAGCCATGGCTCATTGGCATTTATTTATAATGTTAAATCTGGAAATAATTTTCTAGTTCACTTGTTCCAGCCCATTTATTTTTCAGATGATGACACAGGCCCAGAGGAACTTCTCCCTTAGTCTAAGGTTACCTTCCATTAACTTTGTTTCTTACAAGAACCTATTTGCCTGTTGCATCCCCTATTAGAATGTGAGTTCCTTGAAGGCATGGGTAGTGGTTTTTGCCTTTCTTTGTATCCCCAGTACTTAATTGGACCATGCACGGTAAATCGTAATTGCTTACTCAATACTTGTTGATTGATTGATTGACCCAGATTCATGTCTTCTAACTTCCAAACCATCATTTCTTCCTCTATTCCTAGTGTAACACCTTCATTTTGTAGATGAGGAAACAGACAACCAGATATTTAGAGTAACGCAAGGGTCACATAACTCCTTGTTATGTGGTATATGTTGCCATCATGGGCCCAGGGTTTCTAAAGTGTCTGGAAAATGAACTGAAGAAAGAGAGAATTAGCTCCAGAGACCATTGAGTAGATAAGTAGTTGAAGTAGAAGTTAGGGGAAACCTGTAATCAGGACAACAATAATAAAAAAAAAAATCTTTCAAATATCCACAATATCCTTGACCTAAAGACTCCCTCCAACCTCTCCATGCCTTAGACCATGGTTTTTATGAGTTGCTATGGCCTCCACAATTTATCACCCATTGATCAAGCTAATTTTAACTTAGCTTTAAATCGTGTATTGCTTGTTCTGAAATCGAATCCTTTCCAGTTAGAAAGGGCCTGGTAGAGCTTATACTCCACTCCCTTAGGCTCTGAGACCCCAGGGTCACTGTTCTGTTGTGATGAGATGTTGGAAGAATGAGTGGAGGAATTATAGCAACAGCTCATATTGATAAATCTTTTTACGGTTTATAGGGAGCTTTCCTCATATAATAGAGTAAGCGTGCGAATAGAATATTCTTCTTTGGTCTATTTTAGTGATGGGAAAAGGAGCACTTTGGTGGCACAATGGATAGAGTACCAGGCCTGGAATCAGGAAGACTGGGCAAGTCACTTAACCTTGTTTGACTCAATTTCCTCATCTGTAAAATGAGCTGGAGAAGGAAATAGCAAACCACTCCAATATCTCTGCCAAGAAACCCAAAATGAGGTCACGATAAGTTGGACACAGCTAAAATGACTGAACAACAACAAGAAATGGAAAAAAGTCTCATAGAGTTTAAATGATTTGCATAAGATCACAGAGCTAAAGAATGTTTCACCTAGAATTCTTCACCCAGAAGTCAACTTCTCTCACTCCCAGTCTACTGGTCATTTTGTTACCCCTAAATCTAGCCCAAGAAACTTTTAGAATCATGACATAGCTCATTAGGAAGTCTCAGGCCTTCCTAGTCTTAGAATTTCCTGCCTGCAAACAGTATCTTACGTTTCTTTCAGATACACGGAGATCCAGGAAAGATGTCCTACCAGAATCAGCAGCAGTGCAAACAGCCTTGCCAGCTACCTCCCAATTGGCTACAGCCTTGCCAGCCCAAGTGTCCAAAGCCATGCCTTCTGAGGTGCCCTGAACCATGCCCTCCTAGGTGCTTAGAGCCATGCCTCCCTTGGTGCTCAGAACCATGCCCTCCTCAATGCCCAGAGCCATGCCCTCCTCAATGCCCAGAGCCAGGCCCTCTTCAATGCCCAGAGCCAGGCCCTCCTCAGTGCTCAGAGCCATGTCCTCCTAGGTGCCCTGAACCATGCCCTCCTAGGTGCCTAGAGCCATGCCCTGCTAGGTACCCTGAACCATACTCTCCCAGGTGCCCTGAGCTATGCCCTCCTAGGTGTCCTGAGCCATGCTCATCACAGCAGTGCCAACAGAAATATCCCTCATGCCCTTCCCTCTGCCAGCAGCAATGCCCAGGCAAGAGGAAGTAGCAGTGCTAGATGCTAGCAGAACCATGAAACTAGGAGCTTGAGCATCCCTATGGAGGCTTGGGCTCCTTACCCTCTCTCTGCTTCTCCATACCTCTCTACCCTTCATTTGCCCTGGATGGGATGAAATCCCTGGGAGAAACACCTTTGTTCCTGGAGCTGCAGTCCTTTCAGATACAAGATCTCCAACCATCTCCCATCTCCCACATCCATTTCCACACCTCCTGGATGAAAGACAGCAGAGAAAGCACTAAGCACTCCATGGCAGGCTTCCTGGCACCTCAATGGAAGAACACCCCTGCGAAGCCAGACTCCTCCTCGAGCTTTCCTCTGTGCATCACTGAGTGGTGATTTCCATCCCTCAGGATATAACTCTCCTTCTACCACTTTCCACCAATCCAAATAAAGCCTCTGTTTCATGCTGAGACCCGAATTGTTGTTTTTCTCCTCCATTTTCAGCCCTTACCTCCAATTTGTCAGGCATCAGCTCTTTCCAGTGGATGTTTTCCATCCATTTTTCACAGATCTTGACTCTATCATTGAGGAACAACAGAATGAGTTCACTTTTGTATCATACTTCTTAACTTCTAAAGTGCTTTATTTTCCCTATTTTCTCATTTATTTTTTCCTGAAAAAGACTCTCTGAGATGAGCAGGGCTAGGATTATCATCTTCATTTGTCTGAGGAGAAAACTGAGGCACTATGGGGTGATATGACTTACTCAAGGTCACACAATGGAGAAGCTATTGACTTGGTATGCAAATCCTTGTCCTTTTTCTCTATGCCAGTGATTTTTTTTTCTTAACACTCTCTTTACTACGAATTGAGCTTGGTTTGACACATCGTTCTTGAGTAGTTATGCCAAAGAGTCTTTCTTCATTCATGTCTTACATAGAAAATGGTTATAGGTAGGAGTTATTAAGGCTATAATAATGGTTTCCTAACTTGTGTGATCATAGGACTTAAAGCTGGGAGGGGGGAAGGGAATAAATATTTATATAGTGCCTACAATGTGCTAGGCATCATACTAAGCACTTTATAAAGTGCTTTGATTTGATTTGATCTTCACAATAACCCTAATATAACCCTGAAGGGTAGGGGCTATTACTCCCATTTTACAGATGAAGAAACTGAGGCAAACCCAAGTAAAATGACTTGCCCAGGCTCACACAGTAAGTATCTAAGGCCTAATCCAAACTCAGGTCTTTATGACTCCAGGCCCAGCACTTCCCAGCACTGGTCCAGCACTGGCCCAGAAGCCAGGTCTTCTGATTACAAAGGCAGGATTCCTTTCACCATTCCATATGGCCTTCTTTATTTCTAGGGATCCTCCTTCCATTATCCTCTTTATCTTTTAGTTGTTGCCAGCACCAAAAAGATACTGGGATCTCCAGGACCTCTTTTCCCCTGTGGAATTCCTGTGACTCAAAACTTTGACAGGAGAGAGGGAGAGAAGAGAGGATTCCACTAGGGGGAGAAAGCTGGCTCACCCCGCTGTTCTGCCCTTTACTTCCCTCCTTCGTTGCCTCCAAGCTGTTCAATCCTTTGTATTTCTAGTTTCCTTGCATACCGGACAGCTCCTGGGAGGGAAGACAAAGACAGAGAGAGACAAGAGACAGAGAGACAGAGAGAGATGGACCCCTTTGGCCGTCTGATAAAGTCTCTAATAACCACAGTTAATGTTTTAAAATGCATAAAACAAAGTTCTTTGGATTACAAAGGAAACCAATTATATTGAAATAATTACCAAAATATATATTTTTAAAGTTTATAGACCACAGGTTAAAATTTTCTATCCTAATCCAAACCCCTTATCTAACAGATGAAAAAGCATAAGGCCAGTGAGGTGAGTAGAAAGACCTATTTAAAATTACATAACTAGGAAGTGCCAGATTCAAACCCAAATCTTTTGTTTCTCAGTTCTGTACTCACTCCAGAAATTCTCACCCCAGCTTCTAAACAAATCAAGAAGAAACCCTGTTTTCCCGTTAAGTTTTCTCTTCTTTTCCTTTCTCTTTTCTTTTTTTTTCCTTCACCTCCCTCCCCCTCCCCTTCTCTCTCTCTCTTCTCATACACACACACACACACACACATGCACACAAACACACACACCTTAAATAAGTATCACTGATAATGACTATACAATTTATTAAAAGGCAAACAAAGACATATTTGAATACTTCAGCAATGGATTACCTGTAAGAAAAATCACAGCCAGTCACCTCTAACAATTATCTACAACCACTGACTCCTCCACAAACACTGGAAACATACATACCCCATTTACAAAAACTTTGGGAACCAGGGTCACCTCTGATCCATGAGGAGGCATTGAAGGGGCAGCTAGGTGGCACAGTGGATAGAGCACTGGCCCTGAAGTCAGGAGGACCTGAGTTCAAATCCAGCCTCAGACTGAACACTTGACACTTACTAGCTGTGTGACCCTGGGCAAGTCACTTAACCCCAATTACCTAAAACAAAAAAAAAACAAAAAACAAAAATGAAAAGTTTCTTGTAGAAGGTGGAATAATAGCTGAGATTTGTAGGAAGCCAGGAAAGTCAGAGGTAGGGATGAGGAGAAAGGGCATTCCAGGCATGGGGAACAGCCAGTGAGAATATTCAGAGTAGGGACATGGAGGAACAGCAAAGAGGCCAATGTTACTAGATCGCAGAGTACATAGGGGAGAAAGACCATAAGGCATAAGAAGACTGGAGAGATAGGAGGGGGTCAGGTTATACAGGGCTTTGAAGGCCAAGCTAAGGATTTTATATTTGGTCCTGAAGGTGATACACAGCTACTGGAGTTTATTGGAAGGGAGGTGGGGGATATGACATAATCCGACCTATGTTTTAGGAAGATCAGTTTGAGAGCTGAGTAGAGGATGACCTGGAGTAGGGAGAGACTTGAGGGACAGAGTAGCGTGGCAGTAGTATAAGAAGAGAGAAAGGGGTATAGAGTAAAGATGGCATAAAGGTCAAATCAACAGGACTTGGTTAAAAAGAATAGATATGAACAGTGAAAGAGAGTTGAAAGGTTGAGATGACACATAGGTTCAGAGCCTGGGTGACTGGGGATGGTACTGGTGCCCTTCATGGTAATAGAGAAGTTAGGAAGGGGAAAGGATTTTCAAAGAAACCTGAATTCAATTTTGGATATGTTGAGTTTAAGCTGTGTAAGGGAAATCCAGTTTGAGATCTGTAACTATAAGTCAGGGTAAAGGTTAGGGCTAGATAGATAGATCTGGCAATCATCAATAGAGGGATATAATTAAAAAATAGAAGGCCCAGGAGAGATCCTTGAGAGTTACCAGTGGTGAGTGGGCGTAATCTAGAAGAAGATCCAAAACAGTTTGGAGTGAAAGGTTTGGAAAAGGCTCTCTGATGAGCGGGATAGTGAATTGGTTAGGAAGTTGTAAGAGGGATACTTCAATGGAGTGGGGGCTCAGTTGAGATTATGTAACATAAATTCGTAGTGGACCTGTCATCATGGATTCATAATTTTCACATGCTAGGCATCCGAATGCTCATAGAACACAACCCTGCCAGGCCCTGCTCATGCTTGCTGGGAGGTCAAACTTCTGTATGTCTTTAGGAAATAGAAACACCATTTGCTAAAAGACTGGGTAGTTAAGGCCTGCAAGACCAGGCCCCCAAAAAACCTACAACTTTCTAACCACCTGCCTTCACCGTTACTATTTGCTGAATTCTGTTTAGAATTCAGTAGAATGTGAGCTCTCTGAAGACAGGGACCTTTTATGCCTTCCCTTGTTCTGCACTGTATCTGTCATAAAGGAAGTGCTCAATAAATAAATTCCTGTTAACTAAATGCATTCCCCAATGGTTAGCATACTTCCACTCCTTATTTTCCCCATCCTAATGGGACTGAACCCCAAACTGCTAAATGACAAATGTCCCTCCCCAACCCCAGCTGTCTGCTTCCTCATTCCTATCCATCTTAATCCTACTCCACCAATGTTCCTTTCTAGATTTCACCATCCTTTCCCACTGTACCAGGAGAGCTTGTTAACCTACTTTATGTCATAGACATAGTTAGTGAAGCCTATGGCCTCCTTTATTTTTTTTTTAACTTTTTAAAAAATATTTTTTATTTTTCCCCCAATTACATGTTTTTTGATCTTTTTTCATTGTATTTGAATCTATTTTAAACTTAAACACAAAAAAACATTGCCATGTACACACCAGAACATGAGAGGATTCAATATAAAGTAATACATTTCCATTTCAAGAAAACCTCTATAATAAATACTACACATTATTTTCAAAGCTGTCCATCTTTTCTTTGTTTCCTTGTATGTTTTCCTTTGTCCTCTGCTGTGCATTTTTTACTTTTTTCCCCCTTCTTCCCCCCTACCCCAAGAAAGCTACAGTTAAGCGCAGATACACATGCATATATATATATGTATATATATATATACACACACATATATACATGTACATACACATATATACGCATATACATAAGACCACATTATGCTTATTTCTACTTGTCATCTTCCTCTCTGTAGGTGGATAGCATCTTCCTTTATAAGTCCAAGTCTTTCCACATACCATATTTTTATTTTTGATATTGATATTTATTTTGCTTCCTTTGAATATTTGATTTATTTGATTTATTTTGCTTCCTGTGATCCTCTCTACCTTTTGTTTATTCATATATTCTTCCTTAATCCATAGTAAAACTTTCCATGCTCCCTTAATTTGTGTATGATATCACCCTTATGTCTAAATCATCATGTACCCATTTTGATATTATATTGGTATATAGTATGAGATGTTGGTCTATATCTAGTCTCTGCCAAACTGCTTGAGGATCTAGTTTCAAATCCCTGGCCTAAAACTAGCCATATGCCCTTGGATAAATCACTTTCTCTATCTCGGCCTCAGTTTCCTCCCCTGAAAAATAAAAGGATTGTACCAGATTATTTATAAGGTCGCTGTTATTGCTAAATCTTATGCTACTACAGTAAAGGTACAAAATGCAGTGAAACAAGGTGAAAGATTCTTTGGAAAAGAATAATGGAAGAAATGTGGAGCTAGTTGGTGGAGGGCTTTGAAGGCCAGTTGCTTCTCACTTAAGAGGCTATAGGTAGGAACTGCAGGTTCTTAAGTGTAGATAGGTATAGGCAAAGTTGTCCTGGAGGAGATTGATTCTCTTGTTATGAATGAAATTTGGTTACCACTTTGTCACAAAGTGAAGTATTTGGAATATTTAACTGAACCAATAACTTACCAATTGGACCCATTCACATTGGTTGAACAAAGATTGTGGGGGGTGGAGAATGAAGAACCAGCAGGGTGGAATGTGTAAATGATGACCAGTGTGAAGATGTGTCCAGAAGAGGGAGATCAGACTTCCAGATGTCCATAGCAAAATTGGAAAAGTGACCAGACATTAAATCAGAAACAGATGCT